CTTTGACAATCGTTACTGTGACAAGTACACTTGTTCAAAAGCTAGCATGCTAGCTTTAGTGTACTTGTCGCAGTAAAAATTGTCATAGACAACTTGTTCGTCTGTACCGGCTTTACGTGTACGTGCTGTAATGGATAAGAGCTGACTAGATGAATGAATTCGATGTCTTGATTACAATACCATATTCAACCAAGCATATTCAACCATGTATATCCAACCCCAGCCTCATCCCCGGCGCATGAAGGTCTCTTGGGAGAAACACGCGAGAACCACGCGTGGGCGGGAGAAGGGGGAAATGTGAAGAGCTGCGCGCACTGAGCTATACTATATTACTGGAGGAAGTGCTCGGCAAAAAAAGTGTCCGCAAAAACATGGCGGATTTTCGCGCCATATGACGCCATTTCCATGACAACTGGTTCCTCCGGCTCATGAAATTACCGCTGACCAGGCTCAATTCTGAGCCCGCTACAATTTTCACCCCCCCCCCCCTGGTTTAATCAAAAAAATTTTTGCTTTTCGAGGTTTTTGCAGTAAAATCTCGTTGTTTTTTTATATTTTTTGAATTTTTTCGACTTTTGACCATTTGTTAAAAGATTTAAAAGTCGTACACGCTATTCTCACCCGCGAAAGACAACAAACCAATATGAAAAGCCCGAGAAATTTAGGCAAAGGCGATATTTGATGGCAGAGCTCACTGGTAAATATTTCACATACTATTGATGTGTTTTTATTTTTAATTTTTAAAAGATAATGGGAGTAAATGATAGAATACAATCCATTAGATAACAGGCTCTTTGTATAGTATAACGTATTATTTTCCCCCATGTGTTCAAAGTCTTGTCGTAAAATGACTACAGAAACTTTGTTTCTATATTCAAATTAAGTTTTTTGTTGTTTTTTTCTTACTTTACTAGCTTTGTTAAATTGTTGGCTGGCCATGGTTTTTGTTAAACAAATGTTGTTTTATTTAATTCAGTTAAATCAGTTTTTTCCTTCAAATCCTTTGGGTTTTCTATATAGACTGATGACTGAAATCTGACATGCTTGATTTTATGCAATTGTATGTGCTAAATAAGTGTATGTACAGGTGTAAAGGCATGAAACAATGTGCTTCTATCTATATTCTTTGTGTTTATATATACTAGAGTCTGTGGTTATTATAGTATGCATAATCTATAGGGTGCCAGTACAAGCTAGCCTAGAGGTGCCAGATTAGCTCAGGATACTGTGGGCAACTTATCTGGTAATATGATTTCTACCTAGATTTCTGACTAATGACATGTTGATTTGAGGATTCTTGAGCCACTAGAAATAGGATTGTACTTCTTGAATGTTGGGTACCAATCACAAGTGTAGGTATAAGCAAAGTATCTAGATTATAGGCTTTATAGGGTTGCACTGGAACTCATTATACAGGCCAGAACTGAGAAAGTCACACATGCTAGTCAGACATCAAGTCAGAAACAATTTAATTGGTAGATAATGTCACTTCCAGTCCATGCAGGTGGATTTATTTGGGGGCTTTTGTTCATTTCAGTCCTCTCTCTGTGCACCCCTGTATCAGATGCAACTACCTGAAACTAAGAAATCAATGAACTTCAACATTTCAAGTGAAAGGTAGTTGCATGATACATTCAAGCCTTTAAATAGTGTGGTGGCTTAAGCTACTTTTCTTATTTCCTTTCTTCACTTTCTTACTTTTTTGTCTCTAGTGAAAACTTCATTTTACAACATTTTAATTATATAATCTCTTTTTGGTCTAATTGCAGAATTATTTGATGGTGAGACAGTTCATAGTTCAACTTCTTTATTAAAGAATTATCAATTATTAGAAATAATTAATTTAGTTAGCAGTGATAAAACTATCCAGACAAGTTATTATTGTGACTTTGTAGCCAGATGGGTATGATTTTGCTTTGGCTGTTCAGCATTTTGATCCATTGTGATATGTCTTGTGGTACCTGTGAATGATTTTACCTGCAAAATGAATGACAGAATATCAGAATGTAACATTACATTAAGATACATCCCTACACTGCAATAAAATTATGTAATAGATGGTCATGCAGTGTGAAGAATATGGTCTTTTACACTCTTTGTATATAATAAACATGCTATTGTGTAATGGAAATGATCAAATAAAGTTATTTCTGCAACAGCCCTTGCATTCAAACACCTTATTTGTATTTTTCTTGTTCATGCTTAAGCATCAGCCTCAGGATAAGCAAATTCCATTGGATTTGTGAGGGCACTTGAACTATATTGGGTCATTACATGAATTACAGAAAAGATTCAGACTCCCACAGCCTGTGCTACAAGTTACAGCTGTGACAGTGTAGAGGGGGGATCCACAAGTAAAATGTGCTAGAATATCCAAGGGGGGAGGGGTGATACAAATAAAAAATTATGTTTAATATGACTTAAAATTATTAAGCAATTGAGTGCAAGTAAAATTATCTGGTATTGGACTGAGTAGGATAACAAAGTAGGGCATAGTGTTCCTTTATTAATCACTTATAATAAAGGTTTAAATGCTGAATTTTTATAAAGTGCCAGAGCATGGCCAGAGTGGCAACTGGCAGGGTATTGAAAAGGTTGGTTGTGCACATGCATCCTAAATAAATACTGTTACAAAAACCTGGTAGTTAACAGTTAAAAGTTAAAACCAATCACGAATTTCATTATTTCAAAGTAATATAAAACAAAACAAGTCGGGAAAAGGATTTTGAACCCAAGATATGAGACACAATTAAGGGGTCACGTCCATATTCATATTGCCACGCATAACGTCGAATCGACGTTATGAGTGGGTGGGTGGGTTTATCTTAATTCTCTCGACGTTATCTCGATAATCTCGTGGCAAAACGATAATTTTGTGAAAGTTTTGAAGAATGTGACTGCCACGCTCGACGTTATTTAGGGTGGGTGGGTGGGTTTGAGTGTTAACGTCGATTCGACGTTATGCGTGGCAACATGAATATGGACGTGACCCCTAATACAGTATGAGAATGAGTTTGAATGTAAAGAACAACAAAAAAGAGGGTACAAAGCTATTGTGATATTGTTGAAATTATCAATATTATACATTTGCTGCTTGTAACGGTAGTTTTTGACATAATGTGTTTATGCTTTTCCATCGAAATGGCAAGTTATAAAATTTGCCCGAAGCAGCCCAAACTTTGGCAAGCTAGAACTTAAAAAAATTAAAAGAAATAAAACTTTTGTGAATCTTACCTGAAAGCAAGAAATATAATAATCCTTTCGAGTGAATTGTTTCATCTACAAGCAGACTACAAACTTAAAACTAACACACTTTTTTCTCGACTGCAAAAATATCAAAATGTTCAGTCGAAACTCGAAAATTATGATCAAAATTTTTGCAAAAACCAGGGGGGTGAAGGATTTTACTTCAAGCGTAGGATCGCGGTTGGCCAGTGGTAATTGCCATGAGCCGGAGGAACCAATTGGCGTCAGCAAACATGAAAATCCGCCATGTTTTTCCGGACACTCGTTTGACTGAAGGATAGATAGGAGCACGTCCTCCAGTAATATTATAGCTCAGTGGCTGCGCGTCGCAAACCCCACGCACGTATTGGAGCCTGGGGACGAGGCTGATCCAACCCCGTGAGTGACGGCTGAACTAGACCTGCTCCCATCGGTTTATTCTCGTAATCGATTAATCGTTATCGACAATCGATTAATATCGATCAATCTTATTAAATAAATCATAGTCACTGCACACGTCCACATAGTCACTGTATCGGGGCATTAGACATATACTGGCTCATGCTAAGCAATTTCACTTTCTCAATATCTTTCTATTGTGACCCTTTATATTTTAGGGTTCTTTGTGTAGTTGTGAATGTAGATCCTAAATCAATCGAAGCCTTTGTTGCTGTTGTTCTTAACCGTCTCTACACAACTGGTTCTGATGATAAAGTGAAAGATCTTAAAATTTCTAATGTGATCAAGATTGTCGGTACAGTTGGTTTACATCTCAAAGATTATCCCAATGTCCTGGAGAAAGTGAGAGGAGGCTTGTTGCAAAGGTTTTGTTCACCACCGTCATCATTAGATTACTTGATTGTTGAACAGTTAATGAATATTGCACTAACTGAAAAGGTATGAATCAATAATGTACATACGCTTAAGCCTGTTTTCCATTTCAACCGTATCGTAACGTACCGTAGCATTTTATTTTGTGTCGAAGTCATTAGCTCCACACTAGTGCTCAGGAAACAAAGAAATACGCTACCCTTCGGTACGATACGATTGAAGTGGAAAATTGGCTTTAGTTTTTTAAACACATGCAAGTAAGCTTGAATGTATAGGCCATTTACAGAATGATTGAAATACATTGAAAATAGAATGGAATATTCCGATCACTGAATTGTGACTGGATGGCACTTAAATAGTCGATTAATTTCATTCTGCGCGGACATTTTAGCCGAGCAAATAAATTAAAAGTATGTTATTTGATTAGTATAAACTGTTTATAAAGCATAAAAGCGAGAGAAGGAACACAAAACATTCTCTTGGCTTTGCAGTGACAAGCAACAAAATCACTTTACAAGTTCGTGATACCAGACCATTGTTAGTACCAGTCATGCAGAAAATTTTAAAACAGTATCCGTGCAACCAAGAACTTTTCGGTTGCTTACCAAAAGTTAAGTAATGTGATTGATCATGCGCAAAGTGATCAACACAAACTATCAATGTAAATATTGAAAAGCTGGCCGACCATGATTAGCTAATGTCCGAGCAACTGCACACTTGAGCGGACATTTCTCAGACCCAAGCAAATGGTTATAATCCACACTGATTGTTATGATAAGTGTTATGCAAAGCACTCATCAAGCATGGGAGTTGTTGAAAGTTGGCAAGTTCCTTTCATACCTGGTGTGTTCAAACTGAAACTAAACTGGCTATATTTACACAGCATAACTCTATCAGTTCTAAACTCTTCTTAAGCCCTGTTTACACAATTTTTGCTGCGATTTTAGATGCGATTTTCTTCTTCTGATGGATGTGAACGAGTGGAAGAATTATGAATGTTAAGATGAAGATACAAATCCTCGGAGCATTCATAACTCATCTACTCGTTCACATGCATCAGAAGACGAAAATCGCACCTAAAATCGCAGCAAAAATTGCAAGTGTAAACAGGCCTTTAGAGGTTTGGTAGAGGTGGAACCTTCCAACGTCTAGTGTGAAGAAATGAAGGGATTCAAATATTTTCAGCCTGATTATTTATACCAATACATTGTTATCTGCATGATCATTTATCATTCCAAATATTAATTTATCCATTACAATTAGGATGAATTCTACAAGAATATATTGGGCATGTTTATTAAAATTACAACGAGTTCTGGAACATTGGCATATTCCTCTGGACCTTCGACAAAAGATGAGAAAACAGAAGGATATAGGTAAGAAGTGCAAGTCTGGTCGTTTATTCCGTGATCGGAATTCCCAGACTAGATATTATAATTATACCTGTAGTTATGAATGCATTTTGGGTAACATTGTATAGATTCATTGACCGTTAGATCACAGTTGGTTCACACTTACTGCTACAGTAATATGTATATATTGTATACATTTTATTCCTACAGACATTGCTCTAAATCCGTGATCAATGCCCTGGAACAAATCGCCGCTCGTTTAGAAAGACGGGATCTTTTGCAGGACTTACTTGTCCGCTTGTTAGAACTCTTTGTTCAAATGGGATTAGAAAGCAAACGTGCGAGTCAGAAGGCATCGTTTTTGAAGGTACGATCATCAATGGCGTGTACATACTGTAGTTCAACATACCTGCGTAGCCTGCGTAGCTGGTGTTTTAAGGGGTTGAGGCGCGGGCAACCGTCAGCCACGCAGGTTACCAGGAGGCGAAGGAAGCAACTTGAAGTTGAGATCATGCGAGGCATTACGTCTTGAGGGCACCTTTTACATTAGAGTTGTTTTCGCATTGTTTTATCTGGAGGAAAAGACAGCTGGGTGGACGGTTAGGCCACGTACCCCCATGGCCCGCTTCCTATGTCACTGAGCAGAAATATTCTAGAAAAATCCAATATTTCAATTTAAACAACTTTGAATTGAAAAGCACTGCATCAATATGTTTAATGATTCACGATTCACCGAAAACTTTTAAAATTGTATTTATTGCAATATTAAACGGCATCACGACACCGTGATTACGCCACGTCTTCTTTTCCGAATGTTTCTTCTTTCGTAGCTTCCGGGAGCTTAACTTAGCATTTTGACCAACTGCCGCCAGGACAGTCATGAAAGTTGCTTGTACTGAATAAATTTACTTGCCACAAAGACAGATCGGGAACAAATGAGTCGCGCAGGAGGTTGCTTTGCAAAGAACTCAGCAAACTGAATAAATAGTGTATGTTTTACTAAACTCTATGTATTTCAATACCTTTGACTTTGAGGCGTACAAATCCACCAGAAATTACCTCCCTAGACGGGAAACCAACAAAAACCTTCTATATGCTTGTCAACTTGGTGCTAGACGAGGTTACACAACTGTTCAAATACAGTTAAATACAGTAGTTAAATATGTATTTAATTCTTTAGGCATCATCGAGCGCAGGTAACCTGGGTATTTTAATCCCTGCCATCGCTACAACAGTTTCACGGCTTCCACCGATAACTGATCCTAAGCCTAGGCTTCACAAATTATTCCGCGATTTTTGGCTTTATTGTGTTGTATTTGGGTTTGGAGTGGAAGGATCAAGTACCTGGCCAGTACAGTGGTATACTGGAGTATGTCATATTGCAGCAAGATCACCTCTATTACTTGGTGAAGAACATTTGAGATCAGAACTCTTGTATAATTGGGCGTTGAAAAGTGATGCCATTGATGCGGTAAGTCATGTACTCACTATACTCTGAACTTCGTTTATACTGGAGAGCTCTATTGGTTCTAAAGTGTTCTCCTGGGTGCCCAGTAAGGGACATCCCATATTGTTCCAGTGTTATACTACGGGACGCAACCGGAGTACTCGTGTGGTTTTTGGTCAAACTGGGAATGTTCTTTCCATATACGAATGAGGCCAAATTATGATCAGTAAATTGGAGATGAAAGACACATGAACTACCTCTGTATCAACAACACCCCGTATATAGCAGCCAGCTACTGTAAAGTCAGAAAACTTGACTTGCTTGAAACTTCTTAGACAAAGATATTGGGTTTGAGTACATGATCCCAATGTTTCATACGGCAGTCTAACAACGCGACTTTAAATAAAAAATATCTTCATGTAAGACAAATATATAAATATAATTTAATACTCTTTGTTAGTGTGACCTTAACAAGCATTATTACATGATTATTATATTATATTATATTATATTATTGTATGTATGTCTTTTGGATGATGCAAAACAGTAGAAGGCTCTCTGCAAAAAAGCATTCCGGGGGTGATTTATTTTGCCAACATTCTATTGCCAATGTATGGGGGTTTAGGTGTATTATTGTGATTAAATTTTCTTGGAATCGTAGAAATTATCTCTTCAATTTCTTTGCAGACGGAAGTGAATGAAGTGCGAACGTCAGTACTTGATGTAATTGGAAATGCAAATGAACTATCTGTGATTGTAAAGCAGTTAAATTTTGGACAATGCACATATCTTCTCTCAGTGTACAGACTGGAGTCACTACGTGTGGCAAATGATACCAGTTCATTCCATCAAATATTCACGTATTTAGAAAACAAACCAATACAGAAAGACAAAGCAGGTATGCCAAGTCACGTGATGACTTCGATGTTTTTTTTGTATAAACATATTTATTTTTCACTAGCGTTTGCCCAAGAGCATGAAGCTCGTCTACGGCGCTCACGCTACACATTTTTACACTGATAAAAATTATCACACTTGGAAAGTTGAACAACTGCTTCCCTTATCAGCCAGATTAACACATATTCGACTATTGATGGAAACGTTTGGTTTCCTTTATGTATTGTTGAACAAACATAAGAATATTCAGATTATTTAACATATCCAAATTCGTAGGACCGTGAAGAAAAATGTTGACTTTTTGTAAATCCGACTTTTACTTTTTGTAAAAAATTCCAAATTATTACCAAAGACTTCCATGTTCGGCTGAGCCTTGTTGTACCGAACATGGGAAGGGGTGGGAATTCGTAGTTTTGAAAACCCCCTCCCCCCTAATGACAAAGTGACTTTGGTGGTAACGTGCATATAAGTATACGTGTTAGCTGTCTTTCGCGACTCGTTTGGACACAAGCATATTTGTCTTCGGAGCATATTTGTTCTCAGAGCATATTTGTGCTCGGAGCATATTTGTGTTCGAATAAGTGGCCATTTGATTGCTTTCACGATCACGTGTGAGAAAATCCTGAAACCCAAACTACGAAAGCTACACTATATACTGGTCAAATAAAGCCGTTTTATGCATTACTTCTTAACCTTAACCAAACTTTTTAGGACCAATTTTTGTGTGTATAAAATAGTTTTAGGCTCTAACATCCTTTGAAAATAATGTTGAAGGCAGCAATAGGAAAAGCGTTGGACAACCAGTTTGTAATTTTCGTAGTTTAGAGTTTTCGTAGTTTGGTGAACACTCCCAAGCAGTGACCAATAATTTCCTTATTAACCTTGAGCTGTATATTTCAGGCATGTGGCAATGTATATCTGTGATTGCAGACAGAGTATTTGAATTGTTTCTTAATGCTCTGACCGGTAAACCAAAAACAGACGAACGAGAAAGAGAACTTGAAAGTCATGCCCAATTTTTCCTTGTCAAGTTTAATCATTTGACATCTCGAATCAGACGTATTGCTGACAAGTACCTCTCTTCACTTGTTGATAGGTAAGAAGTGCTTCTTAATTAGATAGATATATGAGATTTTAGAGTCAGTTTCCACCCCGATTTAAATACAACGATTGTCGTTCCCTTAAACTATTCCTGATGCTTAAAATCTTAATCCCAAACCTAATCCTTAAATCCTAGCCCAGATCCTACCTAACCTTAACCCCAATATTATCCTAATACGTAGCCTCCTCCGCAGGGGGTGCTTAAAAATATGCTGCAAAATATAGATCCCAACTTTTAATCATTAAATTTAGAACAAAATATTGGTCACATATGAATAGAATTTTCACTGAGTTTGGGTGTTTTGTTCATTCAGACCGGCTGTAAGCTTTGTTCGAATTGAGTTTGTTATTGCTAAGGCATGCACGGCAGTGTTGCTACGAGGATTTACGATGGGCGTATAATTACGATGGGCGTGTGACCTTAAATCAAGGATTCTCAATCGGAGGTCCCCATTAGGAAGCTTCAATTTGTTCTAGCTCGGTTTTCCCCGCAATGCCCACTCCATTCTTTTATAATCTCTATATGCCTCCGCAGGCATCTCTTACAAAATGTCTTAACGGTGACTCAAGAGATGCTTGCAGAGGCGGCTTTCTGATGCGTAAAACTTTGCATCAAAGTTATGGTGACGTCATTTCGGAACATTTTGTGGAAAATCACGAACGAACTCTAGATTTGCGTCATTTGTACATGCCCGCTATCATCCCAAAATATGTGAATCCAAGTTTCCTTAACCACAAGAAAAAGAGACAGGCCGTAGACGAAATTGGCTTATATTCGTTTTTTTCAGATTTCCCCATCTTCTTTGGAACGGTGCAGTGTTACATACGATGTTAGATATCCTTCAGGTTCTGGCTCAGTCACTTGAACAGAAGGTATGTTTTAAATGGAGTTACGGTTAAGTTTTATTTTTGTCAGGATTTTTAAGTATTTTACATCTTGGCTTATGACTTAGTATCTCAGATTACTGACATGAAAAAGACATTGGAAAATTAATTTAAATTATCGTACAGTTAATTGTACTTAAACTTAAAGTTAACGGCAGATGTATGTCTGTGACCTTATTTATGGGAAGTCTCTGACGTCATCTGAGATCAGGGGCAATTCCCGTACGTGTTTTCAATCTGCCCTATACTTCCCTTCGCCCTTTCCCACCCGGTTTTTTAGGACACATATTGTCCACTTGTTGGATGCAATCTATCAGTGTGACTGGTGCCGGAGGTCTGCCTTGGCAGAATTATCTCTTGCTACCAGGCCTCGAATTTCCCTGAAATCAACCGACGG